TATCTATCTATCTATCTATCTATCTATCTATTCATTTTATTAATGATATTTTACCCCGATTATCCACTGACTCTAGAACACATATAATCAATACGTAACTGCCACTGTTTTTCTTTTTTACCTGTTTTCCATTTCACTCTATCTTTCTTTTTTGTTTACTTCTCCCCCTCTTTTTAATGTTCCTTTCTTCCCCTGGTCACAGTGGCATACTAAATGTATGCATCCTTTTGCTTCTTTTCCTTCATTCTTCGTTCACTCTTTCCCACTCTCACTGTGATGCCGCTGTAGTGCGCATCACACATTCACACACCTCGGAGTCTATGTCCTTCACATACCAACGAAGCTCCAAGTCAGTGTGTATTGATACCCGGCCATGCCGGATTGCTCCTTGGTTCCCCTCCGACTCAGAGGAGGATGAGGAAGTCGAGTGGGGGCAACGGCCCGCCCTCACATATGAGAAACCTACTGACCAAGAGTCTGCAGGTGACCCTGCATGGAAACAAATCAGCACGCTTACTGCCCCTTGCTCTTCTTTATTTCCATTCAGTGTGGAGTTCAAATACTAAACACCTAGACAGCATTTTGGGGCGTGAAAGAGCCTATGAAGCCGAAAAATGCTGTCTAGGTAGGCAGCTCACTAGGTCAGTGATTCCCAACTAAGTGTACGCATACTGTACTCCAAGCAGGTAATTGGAAATATTTATATTTTGCTTTGTTAAAACAGGTTTAACTTATAAAAATGGCTTTGTTTAACCTATAAAAATAATGACTTTAAAACATTAGGAATTAAAAAAAATAAACGATTAACTTTTTAAAATTAATTAATTAATTTATTATGTATTATTGTAATTAATGGCTTAACACATTGAGATATTAAAAACTCACATCAATAATTGTGGTGCTCGTAGCAGAATATATGTCCTCTACAACAGTTCTGGTCTGATGTTGATGAAGAGGTAACTACTGATGGGGCTGTTGGGGTACATAAGACAAAAAGGTTGGGAACCACTGCATTATGTTTTGAAACACAGCCACACTTTCCAATATGGTGTGATGCTCATTAGATTTGCCATCATTTTGCACATAATCGCACTGATCACCATGTGTGTTTTTTGAAACTCCAATAACACTACTAAAACATTTTGATTCCAGGAGACCTCCAGTACTGGTTTGCGTTATGCACCTGGGAAAGACGTTTTTGAAGGCTTAAAATTGCTTGAAGAAAAATGAATCTGCTTGGTCATTTTCAGTTTGACAAAACGTGTAAATAATTACTGAATTTGTAAAACACTCTTCTGTTTTTCTTTTACCACAGATTCTAGTCTCGAGGGATGGCTCTCAATGCCCACCAGAAACACCAAACGGTTTGGATGGGAAAAGAAGGTAACGGTTTAGACATACATTCTCACATGTCACAATAAAAAACCCTCTCTGATCATCTGTGCGTGTATCTGTGTAAATTGCAGTATGTGGTGGTAAGCAGCAAGAAGATCCTGTTTTATGACTCGGAGCAAGACAGAGAGCAGTCCAGCCCATTCATGATTCTGGACTTGGAGTGAGTTTGAAAACTTATGTAAATTTAAAATGTGTATATTTGAAACAGTGTTATATTAGTACAGTTTATTTTTTCTTCAATTTCATTTGTATTTTAGTTAAGGTTTTAGTAATTTTGTGTTTTTGCCATTTTTATTCTTTTTTT